CCCCCCCCCTCCCCTCGCGTTGATTTTCCCCCCCTCCCCTCAGACAAAGAGGAGGAACGCTTCACGCTCGTTCTGGCTGGCATGGCGGACGGCTAAAAGGTTTCGCCGCGCATCACCTTCAAGGGCACGCCGTTCATCCCCCCGACCGTGAGCGGCAAGGGCAAGAGCACCCTGCCGCGGAAGAACTCCGTCGCGTGGGAGATCCATCCTGCGAACCGCGCCAAGCACGGCCACCCTGCCAATGGCATGTCCTTCGGCGTGCAGGAGAAGAGCTGGAGTGACCAGCGGGAGTGCAACGGGTGGATCTCGGGCAGCTGNGAAGCTGAAGCCACCGGAGCGTGGGGTCGTCTCTACGTGGTGCAAGGAAGCGTGCGAGTCCATCACCCCCGAGACGGTGAAGACTTGCTTCAAGATCTGCGGTCTCACGCTCGCGCTCTACGGCAGCGAAGACCACGCCTGGTGCGAGAACAACTTCGGGGAAGACTACCGCGACCTTCTCGAGGAGCAGCACGCCGTGTGGCTCGCTGAGCACCCCGACATGACTCTCCCGCCGCTCAAGCTGCCGAAGGTACCAGGGGGGTTCGACTCCAACCCCATCACGGCTGCTCAGAAGGAGGTCGAGGGGAAGCTGCTGCCCTACGTCGCTGATGAGAGCGACAGCGAGGTGGAGGTCTTGAAGGGCGACAGCGACGTGGAAGTCGTGGAGGGGCAGGGGGGCGGGGGCGCCGAAGGAGAAGTATCGAACTTTGAATCATAGTTCTTTGAAACTGCCAGTGAGATTGGATGTTTTTGCGATGGTAGAGGCGCGGGCAAAAAGAGTTCAACCCGCCTAGGAAGTACAGTAATAGGACGTTGGTAGCTCGTAGTGGTAGTTTGGTGTGATTTTTTTGTTCTGTTTTGGTTTCATCTGCGTTTAGAACTGTTGAGTGGATGCCGTTTGCCGATTTGCCGATCTTGATTCTTCAGAACGAAAAGAAGAGAACAAAGAGTACAAATACCACATTTTTGAACATCGTCATGGTGCCATGGGCAGCAGTAGCAGTGGAGCACGCGATTCAAGCTCCCACAGTATCCGGAATTTCCAGCACAATATGCTGGTGAAAGGGTATCACTTTTACCGCCAAACCTCACCGCACATATCGGCGTCTCCGCACAGCGTGCGGAGACGACGAAACCTGTGTGATATCTAGCAAATCGTTCGGAACCCGCTTTTTTTCCGCACACCCTGCGCCAAGACCCCGATATGTGCCGAGACCCCGATGAATACGGTACACGGCGGACGAGTGCTTGGCTATTGCACTTGGAGCGCTCTTGCTGTGCACCCGGTTCATGACAGGGTCGACAGACAAACACCTGCCATCATACATGTGTCCATCCTCCGAATGCCTGCGTTCACCAAACAAATCACATCAGGTCGATGTACGACAAAACTGCAGACAGGCAAATGGTATTCGACGTAACATACTCTAGGAGACACTTGATTTCCAGTTGATCATCAATCAGGGTGTGGTTGTACCCTACCTAGCGTAGACCCTTTACCGCAGTACCCATTCACGTATCTGGCGATGATTAATCACACTGCTCGCGGTGGATCTTGAAACAATTGTGTGCTCTCATATTTTTAGTCGAGGATCCAATGCATGCTTTTGCTTCACGTTCGTTCATGTTGCTCGGATCGATCCCCTTGATGGGTTTGCCGTTCGGTAAAGATGGTCCCGTCCTTCCGTCCGTCCTTTTTATACTGTGAAAAAAGGAAAAACCACGGCGTACCATACGGCACCCCAAGAATGTATTGACCGCATAGCGAGACCGTCTCGCCGCTTTAATCGTCGTCTGCAAGACTCGAATCAGCGCGTGATTTCACGATAGGTTTCTACTCTATCCCCTCAACCACTCGGCCAAGACTACTGGTTGACACTTCAACAGGGAACCACAGCATTTGTGAAGCCACAGAAATATAGATCACGGTAAGCATCCGTGAAATGTCTTGCGTCATGTGCAAGACTGCCTTGGGTTGGCTTCGGCTAGAAGAAACGGCCCCTGCGTACACAGGTCCTAATTTACAGCGCAAGACATTGTTTTCGAGCGCATCTAAACCTCCAACAAAAACGCACATATTCGTACAATCGACCCCACACTACTCTAACTCGACTACTCCTGTACTCAGTGTAGACTTCGCTGGATACCCTTTGGAGATCACCATAGAGCCGTACACTCTCCCAAATTCTGTCGAGGACGATTCCCTCTTGTCACATTGGTGTCGACGAGAGCATAGCTGTGTGCGGTGGGAGTTAACGCTGAGTGTTCCGTTCGCCTACATAGAACTACACGCCAACCCCGAAAAACACGATTTGGGGGTGCGTTTACACCCCCTCAGCTTAGACCCGGCTCGTCTTTCTCCCCCTCCTCCTCCTCCTCCTCCTCCTCCTCCTCCTCATCCCCGCCCACCCTCCCCGGCCTCTTCCTCGCTGACGTCTCCCTCTTCGCTGGACTCCGTCTATTTTTTTTCTATTTCGCGCCGAGAACGATTGCTTACGGCTAGTCTTGCGCCGCGATAGCCTGGGTTGGGCCTACGCCCCCTCTAAGGGTGCGCTGATGATCATACTCCCTCCCTGTTGTGGTCTAGCTATGTAGGTGGTACGCCGTGTAGCGCACAGGCACGGCGAGTACGCGCGAACGAGCGCACATGGCTAGGGGGCGAAGATGCACACTAATTCATCCTCCGAAGGACGTAAAACACGGTGCCCTTTTCAGTATGATACTGAAAAGGGTATCGTGTCGAATCAATAGACTATACAAGAAATTTGGATAGCGTTTGGGGCACGAAGTGGAGCCTGTTTGCGGCCTACGCCACATATTTATCGGGTGAGACTGTTTTGGTGATGTATTAACTTCACGAGAGGTCGACGACCGTCCTTCACACGGACGAAAAAGGAGTGCTCAAAGAGCGGCTCCCACAGCAAGGAGGGGCCCTGTGAATCATCGCGGTGCCCCCTACCAAACGGTAATCTTACCAGTCTGCGTGACACAAAATCATCCAGCACATGTATCCAACAACAATGTTCGCAGACCCACGAATAGAGTCACCCCCCTCTCCCAAAATTCTACACCTGGGTGTGGGAAATTTCGGACGCCCTTACGTCAGCCACTGCTGGGTGAGCTGGTGGGCTTATTTTCTTTTTGGCTCATCGTGATCGCGGCGACTTGCGATTGATTATGCTGGGATCGATCTCCTCGATAGATCTTCCGGTCCGTGAGGACGGTTGCGATTGGACCATTTTCTTTTTTACTGGAAACACTATTTTCCAGCACTATTATTTACTACCATCGTCATGCTGTTCGTCGTGCGCCGACTCCAGGAGTTGGGGCGGAGAAGGAAAATACCACTCTACATGCGCTCCGTCGACCGGAAGAACGCGTATGATTCGATGGACCGAGAGCTGCTGGGGAAGGTCCTGGCCAGGGCCGGGATTCCCGAGGAGATGATCGCCGTCATCCGCCAGTTCCTCGACGGAATGTGAGCCCGGGTGCGCATGGGTGACGGATAGTTTTCGGCCTGGTTCTGGGTTACACAAGGCCTACGACAAGGGTGTGTGCTGTCCCAACTAACTGCTGTTCAACATCTTCTTCGCCGCAGTCATCAAGGTCGTTGCCATTCAATTCAGCGAGGATGATGTTATTCTGCAGAACCTGGTGCACCTGGAGGAGGAGACGGCAGCGGGGGCGAGGACACCACTTGACCGAGGTGCGGAGGGCGGTGTGGGAAATGCTGTATGCCGATGACGCCGACGTCGTATCGAGGTCTGCCGAAGGACTGGCGAGAATGACGACCGCCATCGTGGAGGTGTTCGGGGAGTTCGGGCTGACGGCATCGGAGAAGAAGACGGAGACGCTCCTGATGCGGGCAAAGGAGAAGCAGACAACAACAACATCACCGCCCCACCCACCGCCACCGCTGATCATCGAGGCAGCAGGGCAGAGGTACGCCCGGACGACTGAATTCCGGTACCTACATAGGTGGCCTCGTCAACGAACATGGCTACCTCACCCGGGAGATCAATTACCGGAGCAGAGCAGCGTGGATCATGCGTCAGGAAATATGCCCAGGAGCTCTTCGACAAGCCGAGAGCACCGTTCCGACTCAAGACTCGCCTGCTGCATGCCGAGGCAATGGAGGCACTGCTGTACGGCTGCATGACATGGGCCCCACGTCAACACCAATACCGGACGTTGCGGACCATACACCACCGACTGCTCCTGCGAGTTATCGGTTCCCAACGCAAAAGGGCACCTACCGGCAACTTTCCTACGCCCAGACCCTGAAGAAGGTAGGGTGCCGGAGAGTAGAAACCACCATTCGGCAACGGCGCCTGCTGTTCGCGGGAGCGCTGGCAAGGCAGCCAGACGGGCAACTCCCGAAACGGGTGATGCTTGGCGAGCTGGGGCGGGGAGAGGGCCCAGGCAGGGGGAAACCGGAGCAAAATTGGCAGATGTGCCTTAAGGACGATCTCAAGATGTTCAAAGCAGAGCACGGATCTACGGACGCCGAGCCATGCTTCTTCGGAGTCCCGGAAACAGCTTGGATGGAAGCAGCGAAGGTGGACAGGGGGGTATCGTGGCATACAGGGGTACTGCAGGGAGCTAAGAGGTTCATGACCTCCTGGCACAAGAACGAAGAGGAGGCTAGTCGACAACGAGCGCTCAAACGACACAAGAAGCCCGGCAGCA